AAGTTGTGGCCTCGGTTCAATCCTTTACAGCTGGCTAGTTCGCCACATTTCTGCTTTGCCTGTGAAATCTGTCCGGCTTCCCGATTTCTGGTTTGCAGGGGCTGAGAGGATCAAGCGATGGGATTAAAAGGGAGGCAGGACACTTCGGTTCCATGCCTAGCTCTGGGAAAGGAGCAGGGTCTAAGAGGGTTAGGGCTGGGAGCCAGGACGCCTGGGTTCTGTTTCCAGCTCAGAGCTTGAAATGGGGATCTACCGGGTTAGAACAGTGTGCAAGGTGGGAGGCTGGGGCCCTGGGTTCCATTTTCAGCTGTGGCCTGGCGAGGTGCAGAAAATCTCCATGCCTCAGTTTCCCTGCCTGTAATACAGGGCTCATGATGTTGACGTAGCTAGCTTAAGAGCCAGAGTGCTGAAATACAAAGTTGCCCAAGAGATCAAATGAAAATGATCGAAAGTCCTTATGCTCCTTGTCTGATTTTGACAAGGTGCAGAACTGAAGGGGCTGTAGAGCCAAATTCATGATGAGGTAGGATCTGTACTGTGCTTGTGCCCAGGTCAGGGACCAGGCCCCCACAGTGCAAGGTTCAGTATAGGCACAGAGCAAAAAACTCAGTCGCTGGCGAGAAGCCTGTCGACCTGCACTCCGGAGCACTGGGTGTAGCCAGGGGCCTGCAGTGTCAGCAGTACCTACAGGCCCAGCACTGTGCAGGGAGTGCTGGGCTTGGTGTGGTTGTTGGCTGTGCTGCTGTGAAGTGGCACATATAATGCTACACACCACACACACTCAAAAACATACATGCACATGGCTCCACACCGCCATTCCCTCTCCAACAGGAAATCATGGCCGAGACAAGGGAGCATGGTCTAGTGTCTAGGTCCTGGGGCAGGGACTCAGAGCTCCTCTCTATTACTCGGTCTGTCACCAACCTGCTGGATGACCGTGAGCATGTCAGGGCCCTGCTTCATGCCTCAGTTTCCCCTGCCCTTTGTTTGTTTGGACTGTTGTCCCCTTTGTCTGTGCAGCACCGACTCTGATACCGATCAATATAATTAAAGATGAGAGGAAAGCCAAGGTGGGATCAGCCAGAACTAGCAAAGCAAATGCTACCAAAGCACCCCACCACCTGGTGTAGGTTGTATGCGCCTCTGGGTGCAGCTGGCCCATAGGCCCAGCCAGCTGCTCCCATGCACAGGGTCAAAGTTGGATGTGGGGAGACAGAACCAGCTTCCCTAGGCAAAGGTGGTGGGGGGTTGTAACTGCACCCTGGGATTCAAACCAGCAACTGCTGGGCCTGTCCAATAGCGGGCTCTGCTGCCAGGGTGTAGCAGTCACTACATGACCACAGCTCCCACCAGGGTCCTGGCCTGCACAGCCAGTCCTTTCAGTGCGAGCTCCAACATTAAGGCCATAGGGTCCCTGGTTCCAGGCCCATTGCCAGTGCCCCTGCCTCCCCCAGGGCAGCTCAGCAGAGAACACAACCTGCTTGCAGTTGGGTCTTATGCACAACAGCGGTTGGACAGGCCTACCCAGTGCAAATCACAGGTTGCTGAGCAGTACGACATGCATGGTCTAGTTATGGAGACAGGTGGCTGGCTGAGGTCTCAGCCTACAGAGCGGTGGGCACCAGTAGAGGACTCCGCGGCTATTAAGGGGATATAATCCAATTCTTATACTACATCGGCAGTAGTATGGCATGCTGGCTAGGCCATGCAGGCTCTGCTAGCCCCCCTGCCACAGAAACACACACAGAGAAGCAGCTCAGCGTTACACAAGTTTCCAGGTGGGCTGAATGACTGAGGGGGAAGGGCTCCTAGGTTCTCACCCCAGCCCTGGGAAGGGAAGGGAGGCTAGTGAGCATGTTTGCCTCAGCTTCCTCCTCTGGACAATGGGGATAACGATACTGGCCTCTGTTGGAAAGTGTGTTTTGAGATCTAAAGGTGAACTGTGTCGTAAAGAAGCCAGGAGTGTGTGTGTGTCTGTGTGTACACAGCTCTCCCCACAGGATGCCACCCTGGGGTTTCAGTAACTGATGTAACAATTTTAACGGGTGCCATCAGTCCATTAGAGCTGTTTGTTTCTCAGCTGCACGGTGCCTTGGGGAAGCCTGTGTGTGTCAGTTGCAGGGGGTGTATCAATTTTCATTGCTGCTTTTAAGGGGTTGCCTTCTAGTCCCACCCTCACCCCTACATCCCTCTGGAGCCTGCCCTGCTCTCTGCTCTGGGGACCCGAAACCAGTAGGGTGGCAAGTATCCAGTGTGGTGTTGGGAGGACCAGAGATGCACATGGCCTGTGCAGATCCCCCCTGCCCAGCCGGGAAAACCCCACCCTGGGCAGCTTGGGGTTGCCAGCCTCAACGACAGGGACACACAGTAAAACAAGCCCAGCACAAGCCCGAAGGATGTAGTTGTGTTACATTCACACATAGCACAGAGCATCTCTAACACCACTACACACACACATCA